ACAAGGAAGAGAACATGAATACTGGGACCAGAAAGTTTTGAAACAGATTATACCCCTCTCTGTTCAAGTATTTGTGTACAATTTTTCCAGAGGAAAAACACCCACTCATCCTCTCTCTCTCTCTCTCTCTCTCTCTCTCTCTCTCTCTCTCTCTCTCTCCCTCCCTCCCTCCCTCTCCTTCCCTCCCTCCCTCCCTCCCCCCTCCTCCCCCTCCAAAGAAGCTGATCTTAACATCTGTCCATCTCCTATTTAGACACAATTCACAGTCTCGATAATTGTGCACTCCTAACAAAAAGATCCAGATGGAACACCTCACGATAAATAAGAAATTTCTTCCCCCACAGTGTGAACTAGAAAGCAGTTATGGTGATATTCCTATGTAATCTCAGGATGAGAACACTGGATGCTGGAAGACCTCTTGTTCCAGGGAAGCCAAAGAAACACAGATATTGAAACCAGTGCAAACTACAAAGTGACAAGCTGTCACAAACAAAACAAAACCCACAGATACAAAAATAGAGACAAGGAGAGTGTGAGAAAGAAGTGAGAAAGATTGTGGGAAGGAAGGAAGGAGGACGGGAGAGGAGAGATAGAAGAGGGATATAAGTAAGGACAGATACATACAGGCAGAGTTCTACAATACTTTGAACATTAACTAGTATATACTAGTCTGTGATGGGAAATCTTTGCCAACCAATTAACTTTAAGAGATAGGACAAAGTTAGGCTGTGGCTTTCAGAGACCCTGAGCAAAATGGCACATGGCCCAGGTATCCTCTCTGTGTGTGCTTCCCTTGCAGCACAGCTGAGTTTGAGCTTCTCATTCCTGTTTCATGAGTTTTATCCTTACAATAAATAAAAATATAATTGTTTTACCTTTTAACTAGCCTGGTTATTTCCAGAATCAAGCTAACTTCTACAGTTGGTCCCCAACATGGGGGGTGGGTCTCCAGCTGCTCATTTGGGTATAGAATTCCCTCGCAGTGGCTCCGAGTAGCTGCTAGATGCAGTGCTTCATTTCTTCTCATTAAACGCCTCAGAGCCAATCCAAGTCATCAGGCACCTGGACCACTTGCGACTGTGCTGCTGACTTCTGGGTCTATTTTTTCTGTCACTCGCAGAAGCCCAGGTGGGATGCAGGATTCTCTGGTTGCCTCCTTCAGCAAACCCTACTGGTGTGCGCCACCACCCACAATGTGACAACTATACAATTAGTAAGTAAATCATATAGAGTTGGGGCAGAGTTCTGCACTTGCCTTTACAGAAAAATACACATCTGCAAAAACTCAAGAGACCCTGGAGGTTTGGACACTGACAGAAGGAAAAATAACTATCCAGTAAGTATCATCAAGAAAAAGGAATATTATTTATGAGGACAGGTGGTCAAAGCATATATATATATATATATATATATATATATATATATATATATATATATATGAATATATGATATATAGAGCTGAATTTGGAGTTGGACAATGGCTCTGTACTTCTCTAAGTCCAACCATGTTGTTAAAAGAAGCATTCAGAATTTCTGTCTCATGTCAGGAGTCATCAGGTATAGGACAGAGGGAAGACTTTAGGAAAAATTTTTTTTTTCTCCTTGCCTATTTTGTCTATATCATATTCTTCATTGAATGTATGTCTATATGAATAATGTTTAAGTTTTCCACGATGAACAATGGAGTTTCCTACAGATCCTTTTCCTTCAGTAATCTTTGAAGCTTCCAGGAAGAAGATGGGGCCCCACAGCAACAACTTCACCTGGTTGGGAAGACATTGTGATGCTGATAGTGTTACTACAAGACCAATTTTTGGGTACCAGTTGCTGAAATGGTGCAACTTCTCATAACATTTTGACCAGAACTCCAAATAAGAACTTGGGGAAAGCCCTATCAACTTCTCAGAAATTGTTTGTAGCAATACTAGACAGTAATCTTGAAACTTAACCATCACCTTACTTTTACCGGATCCCATAAAAAGAACGTCACCCCCATGACAGCTGGAAGCAATTCTAGAAGATGACGTCCCCTCTCCCAACAAATTTGTCCTCAGGGTTATGAACACCTTTAGGGGTTGTTGATTATTGCTTGTATAATGTAGAGGGTTGGGGTAAAAACTATATAGGCCTAAAGAAGGGGAAAAATCAAATGGGATAATAGATAATTTAGTATGAACTTATTCACACTATTAATAATAGTGGGTAATAGAGTGAATACTTGTGAGCTATTATTTATGGAAAATTTAAATTGGTATAGTTTTTTGTATAGTGATACAAGTTCAAATTATATTTGTTATTTTTGTTTACAATATTTGTACACCTATGCAAAGTTATTCTGTCAGATTGTACACATGCAGGTTTCTACCTATGTTTAGGGTATTTTGTATATTGTTACAACTTTAGGATATAATTTTGTATTGCATTATATATTACTCTTACCTCTGGTCAAGATACTTATATGTTGTTTACATTTTGAGGTCCTTGTCCTCATTTGCTGCAAATTTGTTTACAGATTATATAATGAT